GGTCCAGTGACTCTCAAGCTGATCCTAGTGGCATTAAAAAACAAAGGAGGGAAGTGACCCCAGATAAGGACTTGGTCACATAAGACAAATTGTGATAGAGAAATAAGCCATAGAGTTGATATTAGTATTATATTGAAGTACAGTGGACCCCTGCCTAACGAAAGCATCGCATAACGTTAATTCCGCCATACGAAGCATTTGAACGCAAAAATTTTGCCTCACGATAAAAAATTCGCCCGTGATTCCTCCCAAACCAGTCCCTCCAGCCTGAGCGCCTCAGCTGCCCTGCCGTCATTGTTTACAAGCCAGGGTGGCCGGTTGCATGCATACATTCGATACATTTTGTATTATTCCATTGTTTATAGTGCTTGTAACTGCTAAATAAGCCACCATGGGCCCAAAGAAAGCTTCTAGTGTCATCCCTGTGGTAAAAAGGGTGAGAAATATGTACTATTGTACCACGGTCAGCTGCTGCTGCACCACCGTCAGCTGTTGCTGCACCACCATCAGCTGTACTACTCGAAGATGTGGAGTGTGTGTTGTTGGTGTGGCTTAACGGGAAACAATTACTGAGAAAATTAACCCCAGATGGTTGGCCACCCAGGATAACCCAAGAAAGCAAGTGCATCATCGAGGACTGTTTAACTTATTTCCATTGGGGTCCTTAATCTTGTTCCCCAGGATGCGACCCACAACGGTCGACTAACACCCAGGCGAACAGGAAAAAATGCCTGGAACTAGTGCTTATATTGGTGAATTTAAGGCCAGCAAAGGTTGGTTTGAGAGATTTAAGAATTGTAGTGGCATACACAGTGCAATAGGGCATGGTGAAGCTGAAAAATTCCAACCCCAACAAGCATTCAATTGTGACGGAACTGGCCTGTTCTGGAAGAAAATGCCAAACAGGACCTACATTACTCAGGAGAAAAGGCACTCCCAGGACACAAGCCTGTGACAGACAGGCTAACTCTCATGTTTTGTTGTAATGCTAGTGGGGATTGCAAAGTGAAGCCTTTACTCATGTATCACACACCCATGTGTTCAAGAAAAACTCTCATGTCTTAAATGACATGGACCCAAACCAGTGCCTTGAAAGGATCAACTGCCTGGTAGCCGAAGCATGTTCTAGGCATATTCCCCTAAGAAAGAAGAAGAGCAGGAGTAAACTGGAGAGAAAAAGACGCTCCCTCTACAGAAGACGACGAAGAGTCACTGAGCTCCTCAGGAGTGCTAGAATATCTGATACACGAAGGGAGGCGCTGACCAGGGAAGTGGAAACTATCGAAGTTAAGCTAAATGACTCTTACAGGAACCAGGAGAGGCAGGAGGAGCTTAAAGCTATTAGTGAAATTGAAAGAAATTCAAAATATTTCTTTTCATATGCCAAAAACAAGGCAAATACCACATCTAGTATCGGGCCCTTACTCAGACAGGATGGGACTTACACAGACGACAACAAGGAAATGAGTGAAATATTGAAATCCCAGTACGACTCTGTGTTTAGTGAACCACTAATCGGTCTGAGGATCGACGACCCAAATGATTTCTTCATGAATGAGCCTCAAAACTCCATAAATGTATGCCAGATTTCCGACATTACCCTAACTCCGATAGATTTCGAAAAAGCCATTGACAACATGCCTATGCACTCAGCCCCGGGCCCAGACTCGTGGAACTCTGTTTTCATTAAGAACTGCAAGAAACCCCTCTCGCGTGCCCTAAGTACACTATGGAGGAGGAGCTTGGACATGGTGAAATTCCAGTCACTTAAAACAACGGATATAGCCCCACTCCATAAAGGTGGCAGCAAAGCATTAGCTAAGAACTATAGACCAATAGCTCTGACATCCCACATCATAAAAATCTTTGAAAGAGTGCTAAGAAGCAGGATTGCAAATCACCTGGATTCCAAAATCTGCACAATCCAGGGCAACATGGGTTCAGGGCAGGTTGCTCCTGCCTCTCACAACTACTGGATCACTATGACATGGCCTTGGATGCACTGGAAGAAAATCAGAATGCAGATGTAATATACACAGACTTTGCAAAAGCATTTGACAAATGCGATCATGGCGTAATAGCCCATAAAATACGTGCTAAAGGAATAACTGGAAAGTGGGGAGATGGATCTTCAACTTCCTAACAAATCGAACACAAATAGTGGTCAACAGAGTTAAATCGGAGGCTGCCATAGTGAAGAGCTCTGTTCCACAAGGCACAGTACTCGCCCCCATCTTATTCCTTATCCTCATATCAGACATAAACAGAGATATACACCACAGCACCGTATCATCCTTTGCGGATGATACTAGGATCTGCATGAGGCTGTCATCTGCTGAGGACGCGGTTAACCTCCAAGAAGATATAAACAAAGTTTTCCAGTGGGCAACGGTAAACAATATGATGTTCAATGAGGACAAATTCCAACTACTCCGTTATGGAAAACTGGAGGAGATAATAACTAGAACAGAGTATACTACTGACTCCGGCCATACAATAGAGCGGAAAAATAATGTAAGGGACCTGGGAGTAGTAATGTCTGAGGATCTCACTTTCAAGGATCACAACAGTGCCACGATCGCACGTGCAAAGAAAATGATAGGATGGATAATGAGAACTTTCAGAACGAGAGATGCCAAGCCCATGATGATCCTTTTCAAATCACATGTTCTCTCTAGGCTGGAATACTGCTGTACATTAACATCTCCATACAAAGCAGGTGAAATCGCAGATCTAGAGTGTACAGAGATCCTTTACTGCACGTATAAGTTCTGTCAAGCACCTTAACTACTGGGAACGCTTGGAAGCACTTGACTTGTACTCGTTGGAACGCAGGAGGAAGAGATATATCATAATCTACACCTGGAAAATCTTGGAAGGAATGGTCCCAAATCTGCACACAGAAATCACTCCTTACGAAAGTAAAAGACTGGGCAGGCGATGCAAAATGCCGCCAATAAAAAGTAGGGGCGCCATTGGTACACTAAGAGAAAACACCATAAGTGTCCGGGGCCCAAAACTGTTCAACAGCCTCCCATCAAGCATTAGGGGAATTGCCAATAAACCCCTGGCTGCCTTCAAGAGAGAGCTGGACAGATACCTAAAGTCGGTGCCGGATCAGCCGGGCTGTGGCTCGTACGTCGGACTGCGTGCGGCCAGCAGTAACAGCCTAGTTGATCAGGCCCTGATCCATCGGGAGGCCTGGTCGTGGACCGGGCCGCGGGGGCGTTGATCCCCGGAATAACCTCCAGGTAATCACTCATCAATAAAGGTAAGTGTCATTTTAACATTTATTTATGTAGTTATTGTACATGTCTCATTGTTTTCTTTGTAGAGAAATGTATATTTCATGAAAAATTTTTTTTTTTTAATACTTTTGGCTGTCTGGAACGGATTAATTGGATTTCCATTATTTCTTATGGGGAAAATTAATTCGGCTAACGATAATTTTGGCTAACGATGAGCTCTCAGGAACGGATTAACCCTTTCAGGGTCCGTCCCGTAGATCTACGGCTTTACGTTCAGGGTCCAAACCGTAGATCTACGCCATGAGCTCAGCTCACTCTGATAAACTGTGAGTGGTACATTTGGGCCTAGATATGAGAGAATACATCTATGTGGTATGTGTGCACCACATAAAACAGATCCTGCAGCACACTGTGTATAATGAGAGAAAAAAAATGAAATCATGATTTTTCGATTAAAACAGCAACTTTGCAGTGTTTTTTCGTATGTTTTTTATAGTTGTATTTGCGATTTCTTGGTCTCATTTGATAGAATGGAAGACATATTACAGAAATAGAGATGATTTTGATTGGTTTTAGCACTGGAAATGGCTTGAAACTGAGCTCAAAGTAGCAGAAATGTTAAATTTTTGCCGATATTCAAGAGTAAACAAACCTCACACATCTAATACACGTCAGCTGGTGGGTCTAATATACATTCACAAATATGGTGATGATATTTATACAATTATTACAATATTGCATAACAGTAAATCTTCTATTTTTTGGTGTGAATAAAAATTCATTATGTGAATAAAAAATCAAAATGGAATTTATTTGTAAAGCCTCAAAACATAACTAATGAACAGAGGAAATGTTAGTTTAGTGCCAGGAATGCCTACATTGTTCATTCTGGACCCTATTTTGAAATTGGAATATTTTGAACTTTGTGTTAAATTGGCCAAATTAACAATTTCCGATCACTTTATTTTGTAGTTCAAACAGTTGACTTGGCGATTTCTTGTGCTCAATCGATAGAATAGAAGTAATACTAGTGAAATAGCTAAGAATTTGGTTGATTGGAATAATGTAATTGGCCTAAAATGGGAGTCAAAGTCGGCAAAATCGCCGATTCGTAAATATCGCTGAGACATCAAAATTCGCGAGAGCATAATTTCGTCAATTTTCCACCAAATTTCGTACTTTGTTTTATTACCTTCACAAAAAGATTCTCTACGATTTCATAAGAAAAAATAATTTTTTTTTTTGAAAATTCTTGGACACTGGTGCGTGACTCCAGATTTGGGCCTTGGACCCTGAAAGGGTTAATATCATTAGGCGAGGGTCCACTGTATTTTCTCCTGCCTCCCGAGAGCAGGAATTCCGCTGGAACGGATTAATGGCATTTCAATTAATTTCAATGAGGAAGACTGATTTGATATACAAGCAAATTGAGTTACGAGCTAGGTCACAGAATGGGTTAAACTCGTAAATCAAGATATCACTGTACTCTCGTATATTCCCTTCTTTGCTTCCATGGATAACATATTTTGTCTCCATAAACACCTCGGTGCACCACTTCATATTGCCTCCTTATTCCCTGGATGCTGTATAACCTTTATGGGTTTAGCACTTCCTCATGAATATAAAAAAAAAAGTAGTGACAGTATAAAGAATATAATATTTGAACAACAGCAGTGCTCTTTAATACTATATATTCTATTTATAAACACAAAGATATCACCTAGAATTAGAGGATAATAATGAAACTCTCAATTGATCTTTTATGTATAATTTACTGGTAAACCTGGTAACAACTATAAAAAAGTAACAATGCAAGTTAAGGATTCCTTTTATCCTATCCATTATCACATAAACACACTTAAAGAGAGGGGCTCTTGGTCCAAAGAACTGAATATTTCCTCCCTTTCTTTGGACCAAAGATGAATGCCTCCCATTTCTCAAGAACTAGAGAACCCCTATAGTTCAGCACTTTCCCTTAATTAAAATATGTATGTATTGTCTTCACATTTACTTTATTTTGCCGACATTTTTCTGTGTGCACTTGCAAGAAATTCCTTCATGTTGAGGGCTCTTGATCTAATGGACTGGAGCTACCCTTCCTTTAGATCAAACCTGATTATCTTCTACTCCCCAAGTGATATATGGCCCTTCTAGGAAGGTAAGATTAATACATTTATGGGAAGTGTTAAACCGAGAGAGGTCATAGAGCACTTGGGGAATGGGAAGCAGTCCTGGTGGATCAAAGAAAGGGGGAAGGTAGTACCAATTCCTTGGACTTTATGCTTTCCACCAGCATATGGGTGAGAAGGTAAGAATAACATGAGTTAGTACAGTATATGATTTGTCCTAAATCATTTTTCATACGTAAGTTAATTATTATTATAATCAAAAAGAAGCGCTAAGCCACAAGGGCTATACAGCGCACTGGTAAGTTAAACTATACAATAATTGCTGTAATCATTATATTATTATAATAAAAAAGAAGCGCTAAGTGTAATCATTATAATAATGATATACAGTATGTTCTCTATTTGATATTGTGTGCTGTATAGGCAGAACATTTTGAAAATAAGATGCTGTATGACCCTTGTAGGTTTAGTGCTTCTTTTTGATTATAATACAGCCTCTCCTCAATGACAGAGTTCTGTTCCTAAGACCACGTTGGAAAATGAATTCGTTGGTAAGTGAGGAGCATACTATAATGGTAGTGGGTTTGTGTCAACCATCTTTGATAATGTTTTAATGTCACCTTTGCACCATTTAAAACATTTCTGGTATATTTTTGTTTATACAGCAGTGTACTGTATATTGTAATAAACAGAATAGAGAAAAATCAGCTCTAATACACATTTAGGTATGCATACTGGTCAGAGAGCTCATCAGTAAACGTGTGCATCACTATACAAGGAGAGGCTGCAATTTGTGAATAAGGCTTATCCTTGATACTGGTAAGGAGCTCTTGATCAGTAGGAATTTAACCTACTGTTACCTTGGATGCTGTATGACCCTTGTTGGTTAAGCATTGTTTTTTATTATAATAATAATGGTCCCTTGGATTGAATCTGAATGCTTTCCATTCCCCATGGTGATGTATGACTCCTCAGGTTTAGGACAACGAAAAAAAAAATTACATTGAAAGACGAGTTGTTGATAAGCTTACAGAGCTCTATACTTACTTTTTATTTTATTATTTACAGTGGACCCCCGGTTAACGATATTTTTTCACTCCATAAGTATGTTCAGGTGCCAGTACTGACCGAATTTATTCCCATAAGGAATATTGTGAAGTAGATTATTCCTTTCAGACCCCCAAACATACACGTACAAACGCACTTACATAAATACACTTACATAATTGGTCGCATTTGGAGGTAATCGTTATGCGGGGGTCCACTGTATTAACACATCGGCCGATTCCCACCAAGGCAGGATGGCCTGAAAAAGAAAAACTTTCATCATTCACTCCATCAGTCTTGCCAGAGGGGTGCTGTACACTACAGTTATAAAACTGCAACATTAACACCCCTCCTTCAGAGGGAAGACACTGTACTTCCCATCTCCAGGACTCGAGTCCAGCCTTCCGGTTTCCCTGAATCCCTTCATAAATGTTACTTTGGTCACACTCCAACATTACATTAAGTATTAAAAATCATTTCTCTCCATTCACTCCAATCAAATACACACACATGCTTGCTGGAAGTCCAAGCCCCCTCGCACACAAAACCTTTACCCCCTCCCTGCAACCTTTCCTAGGCTGACCCCTACCCTTCCACTACAGGTTTATACCCTCAAAGTCATTCTGTTTCGTTCCATTCTCTATATTTATTAACATAACTAATTCATGGCTCATGAAAACTTATGTCTTCACAAATTTATATGGTTAACATTAATATATTTTTAATTATTATTATTATAATCAAAAAGAAGCGCTAAGCCACAAGGACTATACAGCAATATATATATATATATATATATATATATATATATATATTTTTTTTTTTTAAGCCAATAGTTTACAAGATACGTGGCACTGATATGATCTATACAGTTTCAGCATTTTCTTGTGTATAATTTTGTATTGTATATTAAAAATATGACTTGATCCAATTGAACAAAATTTTGTGAATGAATTTTAAAAATACACCAAGATCCATAAATGAACTGTTAATCACCCCCAAAATACTCAGAGTACCTTATTCCTTTGACTGTTTCGGTCGTATATATACATCTTACGAGTCACCGTTTTTGACGTATATACAGTGGACCCCCGCATAACGATTACCTCCGAATGCGACCAATTATGTAAGTGTATTTATGTAAGTGCGTTTGCACGTGTATGTTTGGGGGTCTGAAATGGACTAATCTACTTCACAATATTTCTTATGGGAAAAAATTCGGTCAGTACTGGCACCTGAACATACTTCTGGAGTGAAAAAATATCGTTAACCGGGGGTCCACTGTATACTCATATATTCTAGCGGCTTCAAATCAAGCAGGAGATAGCTGGTAGGCCCACATATGAGAGAATGGGTTTGTGTGGTCAGTGTGCACCATATAAAAAAATCCTGCAGCACGCTGTGCATGAGGAAAAAACTAACCATTTTTTTAATTAAAATGCCGAATTTGTGATCTATTTTTGTATAGTATTTATGGTTGTATTCTCATTTTCTTGGTCTCATTTGGTAGAATGGAAAACATATTATAGAAATAGAGGTGATTTTGATTGGTTTTACTATGAAAAGAACCTTGAAATGGAGCTCAAAGTAGGGGAAATGTTTGATTTTTGCTGATGTTCAAAAGTAAACAAATGATGTCATTTTCCAATAATGTCCAAGTAGCCATTCTAATATGCAATCATGAATGGGTTGACATTATTTATACAATTATTACAATATTGAAGTAGTCTGCATAACAGTAAATCTTCTATTTTTTGTTTGAATAAAAATTCAAAAAGAAAGCAAGAGTAATATCAGAGGGGCCTGGAGATGGGACTGATAAAGAAAATGTTATTTTAGAGCCAGGAATGTCTGCATTGTTTATTCTGGACCCTATTTTGAAATTGTCATATTTTTTAATTTTCGTGAAATTGGCCAAATTGCAAATTTCTGACCACGTTACTGGGTAGTCGAAATCGGTAAATGGGCAGTTTCTTGTACTCAGTCAATAGAAAAAATGGAGTTCTAAAGAAATGGCTATGAGTTTGGTCGACTGGAACAATGGAATTAGCCGAAAATAGGACTCAAAGTGGGCGAAATCGCCGATTCATAAATATCGCCGAGGTCGCTAACTTTGTGAGAGCGTAATTCCGTCAGTTTTCCATCAAATTTCGCTCTTTTGGTGTCATTACAATCGGTAAAAGATTCTCTATCACTTCATAAGAAAAAATAATTTTTTTTTCCAGAAATTTTGTGACACCAGGAGACGCCTCAGGATTTGGGGTTGCGATTGTCAAGGGGTTAAATAAAACTGTTATCAGTGAATTTGTGTGTACACTAGATCTTGAAGATTAAAATGTCTACACTCCTGATTGCCTTTACACACACAATGACTAGCTGGAGAACATATTAATATGCAAGAAATAAGACAAATTTATTAAATGCCCAGCTGTATGACCTTATGGGTTGAGTGCTTAGTTATGATTATAATACTTGTATTAAATGCCCAAGATAAAATATCAAATAGAAGAGAAAAATATTGACTATGAGGGTACTAGGGTGATCCATGACAAGGTCATTATGCAACCAACAGCATTTTTGAAAGTAACTTCCACTTGTACGTACTACAATATAGACCTGGTCCCATGCACACCATGTACAGTCAAGCCTCACTTTATGAAGATTCACATCGGGAAATTTAGCTTTTCATAAATTTTTACGAATTGGGGTTAACCCTTGTGGGTTTAGTGCTTAGTTTTGATTGTAATAATAATACATATTGAGCTTGTCCTCCACTTTTGTGCATCAAACCCATTTACCTCCCATTCCCCCAGGCTATAATCCCATATGGGTTTAGCATTTCCTCTATATAATATTATCAAGTTTTATGTGAAAGTGCATACCCTAGTAAATCATTCAAACAAATTCATGCACCTGAAATCCTTTCCAAACAGTAACATAAACAGCATCAGTCAGTCGGCCCTCCTTAAAATCTGCTTTAGTGCACATCTTGAGAAATATTTTTAAAAAAATACTGTGATTTATAATGTTAATAATGGCTTCAAGAAGAAAAGCTCTACAAATTGTAATGGTGCCATTTGATTATTATAATTATAATAATTGTAATGGTGCTAATAATGTTCTAGAAAGCTATGACTCTGGAAATGAGGCCAACATATTTTAACTAGAGGAAACATTAAACCTGTAGGGGGTCACATTACAAATAGGGAATGGGAGACATTCTTGTTCAGTCCAGTGAAGGGAAGCATCAGTTCAATTCCTTGGATAAAGAACCTCTCACTAGCATGAAGACACCCTTGAGAGAAGGGCTGCAATAATGAAACTTAGCAATGTTAAAAAGAAAAATTATAATATCTGCCAGATATTTAATTTATTGTCAATGGTAATACCATAATTTAACATTTTTCCCATGCTTGTATGTTTTGTCTCGAGCAAATTTTTGGGGTTATTTTTAGGTCACTTTGAAATGCAACTCCCTTCAAAGAAGGTGCCTTAATGCCAGTGAGGAGCCCATGATGTATGGAAGCAAATCTATTATATCTTTTGTTTGATCAAACTATTTCCTACCATTCCACCATGAGCTGTATAACCCCTACAGATTTAGTGCTCCTCCCACAAATGTAACAATGTGCAATGAAACCTCCAGTCATAACACTATGCATATGAGAAATAGTGATTCACATTACAAAATTTCATTGGGTGATCTCTTGAGAAATGTAATTATATTTAAAAGCAGAGATAGCCTGTATGTACAACTTTCAGGCCAGTTGATGAAACCATGTAAGCATCTACTTATTGTTAAAGATGGAAATATTTAAATTTATTAAATATTAAGATTCTTTTTCACTGGAATGTATTAAGAGAATATAGAAGCATTTAAATCATGCATTGACAATATAGCTACTAACTTGTGAAGGAATCCAATTAACCCTTTAACTGTGTTCAACATACTAGTATGCAGGTGGTGGTATTGTGTCTCACATACTAGTACACACCAATTTTTGTATCCACAAATCTGCCACCTGCCAATATTTATCTCAGGTCATTTCTTTGGGTCCCCTTCCATCTATTCATACATTTGAAAGGAACCAGCTGCTGTTGTTTCACCACCAGGGTCCCTACTAGCAAACTATGTGCAAGTGGCTCATTGATAACATTCATTCCAAATTTATTACAATTTCATGATACTAACAATGGAATTCAGCCACAAAGCACACTAGGTATAACCCAGTCAAGTCAAACAAGGTGAATAATTTCCATAATTGTAATATTATATGTATTCATTATACATAGCCTTAGAACAAATTAGTAAAAAAATTAATAATTATAAAGTATATATACTGTATACCAGAGGCATCGCTAGGGTTGGTGTTACCCAGGAAAAACACTGCAATATCAGAGAAACACTAGTTCCAATTTGACCTTGAGTACAGGTAATATCTCAGTGATTCTGATCTTACATTGTCTTTCCTTCAATCCTGCAAAATCATCTATCACATCATCAAAATCAATGATTTTCCCTATATAGGTCTATTTGTACTCTGTAATCATATAGTACAGTGGTACTTCGGGATACGAGCAACTGAAAATTAAACGATTATGTAAGTGCTTTTGCAAGTGTATTTTTGGGGGTCTGAAACAGATTAATCTAATTTACATTATTCCTTATGGGAACAAATTCGTTCAGTATTGGCACTTGAACGGCCTTCTGGAACGAATTAAGTTCGTATCCCGAGGTACCACTGTAATAGGCTATATAGAAATGAAGGATTCTTCTCTTATGTTGGTGCAGCACTGTTTTGAGCATTAGTGTCACCTTTAGAGGCTCTATGGTGTCACCCGGGTGCCCCATCCCTTACGACGCCACTGCTGTATACGTATATAACCCAGTCAAGTCGACCAATATTACTTATTTCCATGTTTTAAGGAGTGTTACACTCTGAAACAATTTGGCTTAGTGCCTCTTTTTGATTATAATAATAATAATAATAATAATCTGAAACAATTGTATTGTTGTAAGTATTCCTTGTATATAGCCTTAGAAGACCAAAATAGTAAGGAAAAAATATAACAACTAGTCATAACGTATATATACCGATTATTTCAAGCAAAGCAATATTTGAAGTGCTAAAACAACTTGAAACACATCTAATATTATTAAAAATTTGTTTATATAGCAATAAACATTAAAAAACAGAACAACAATCATATTAGCATCAATAAATTGTAAAATGTAAATATGGCTGGTGCTCCTGTTGCCAATTAGTGATAATTTTTCCACTAACTTCAACATGCCATAAAATTGTAAATTTTGGACAGATTTCACTCATTTTATTTTATTCAGTTCAGAAAAACAAACTATCAATCCAAAAGAAACAATATCTTTCTTTTCTAAAATCTTCCCACATACAGGAATTTTCTCTTCAGGTTATTCCACAGTTAAAGGGTTAAATTAATTCATCCTATGTACCGAAGTGATGGAGGCTTGTTAATTCTATTAACAAGAACCATGTTCTCTGAATTATTTCTGAAAAGTTTCTGTATCATGAAAACAACTTATGTTGCACAATACCCTACAAGAACTGACTTTAGTTTCTTGAGCAGAAAAACAGCAAGGCATTATTGCTTTAATAAGTGCTAATTCTCTCCATCACATATCAACCATTCCCATGATGTTACATTTGTGGATAGAAAAAAAAAAACAGTTTTTATAATATAAGGATCGTAGCTCAACACACAACTGAGATCTGAAAATTAGCAGAGTTACTTAGACTTTTTGCTCATCTACCTTCTTAGTTATTGCATGCAATTTTTACAAATTTTGTGGTCTTGAATACAACATATATTTAGTATACTAATCTAATGAAGGTCCATCTGAATTTGTTTAGGATATGACTACATTGTTAGGCAAGAAGTATTGACAAATAAATTATGATACAATGGAAAACATGAAGATGTAAAATGTGTAAAAGTTTTTAGCATATGACTATAATCTTGGTAACTGGAGAATCTTGAAGAAATATTCAACCTGAAAAAAAAAAATATCATGAATACATATACTACAAAGAACAAAAATAAATATTATATACTTGTACACAAATAACTCGCACATAAAAGAGAGAAGCTTATGACGACGTTTCGGTCCGACTTGGACCATTTACAAAGTCACACTAACCAGAAGAGGAGCAGGACGTCTATATATAGGCAGGAAGAGGTGGTGGTGGTGGTAGTAGTAGTAGTAGTAGTACAAGAATGGTATATAATACTTACAAGATGAAATTAAGATACATGCGCAATACCCGGGCATCCCTATCGTAGACGTTTCGCCAGCCACTGGATGGCAAAATGTCCACAACAAAGACACCCAGATGCCGCACATGTGTCTTAATTTCATCAGTAGTAGTAGTAGTAGAAGAGGTAGTAGTAGTGGTAGAAGTGGGGAATAAGGAGGACGAGCCAGTCAAATGCAAAGGAAGGGGAGCACTGCAAGAGAGCTAGGTGCCCACAGAGGGAGAGCAAGCGCACAGAGGTGCGGTGAAAGGGGAAGTGGTGAAATAAGAAGGAACAGAAACATGAGACGGAAGAAAGACAACCCAGAGGAGAAAAAGGAAAGAGGAAAGGGGAAGAGGGAGAAGAAGAAAAAGAAAAAATGAGGAGTCAGGTTAAGTCACGGGTGTTCTGAAGTTTGGAGCATTTTACAATGTAGTGGGAGAGGAAGGCATCTACAGAGACGAAGCCAGGGCTAAGATTCATACAAGGAAAGTTGTGTATTAGAGAGGACTCAACTAGACGGCGACTGTTCGAGTTGGAAGTAGGGAAGACAGTTTTAGCAGAAGACCAGTCAATAGGATGGCTATGATCTCTGACGTGACAGAAAAGAGCATTGTTAGTGTCGGCTAGCCTAACACTATTTTTGTGCTCCCTAAGTCTGTCAGAAAGAGATCGACCGGTTTCTCCGAAGTATTGAAGAGGACAGGAGGAGCAAGAAATAGAGTAGACACCAGGAACATCTGTAGAGGGAGGAGAGGTATGAATGAGATTAGTGCGAAGAGTGTTAGTCTGGCGGAAGGTAAGCTTGATGTCTAAGGGACGGAGAGAATTTTTGAGATTAGAAAGACCGGAAATGTAGGGAAGGCAGAGGATAGAAGAGTTCCCAGGAGTAGAGAGTTTGGGAGAGAAGAAATTACGTTTAGCTCGTGAGAAGGCAGAGTCTATGAAATGGGAAGGGTAGCCAAGACGGGAAAACGAATTATGAAGAGTGGAAATTTCTGCTGGAAGGAACTGAGGATCACAGATGTGGAGGGCACGGAGAAAGAGGGAGATAAGAACACTTTTCTTGACAGGGGAAGCATGATAGGAAAAGTAGTGAATGTACATGCCACTGTGCATAGGTTTTTGGTAAACGGAAAGGAAAAAAAACCTATATCTGAGTGGTGGACATGGACATCAAGGAAAGGAAGCAAGGAATTAGATTCCCATTCAGCTTTAAACTTAATGGAAGGGGCAAGATTATTAAGAGCTTCAAGAAAAAGTTGGAAGAGACTGGAGTCATGAGGCCACAGAGCAAAGATGTCATCCACATAGCGGAGCCAGAGTGAAGGTTGCACATCGAGGGTAGGAAGAAGAACAGTCTCGAAGTATTCCATGTAAAGATTAGCAAGGACAGGAGAGAGAGGAGAGCCCATAGTGACACCGAAGGTTTGAGAATAATATTTCCCTTGGAAGGAAAAGGAGTTAAAGTCCACACAGAGGCGGATAAGATCAAGAAAGACATCAGTAGGCATAGGGAGATGTAGAAACCCTTCATGGGCCTTCTCTCTAAGGAAATCAAGGACATCATCGAGAGGGACATTGGTGAAGAGGGACTCAACGTCAAGATTAAGCATCTTACAGGTTGGGAGAGAGCGAACCCGTTCAATGAAGTCTTGAGAGTGACTGAGGTGGGCAGGAGAAAAAGTACCAAGAAAGGGAGTGAGGGTTTTGGCCAGCCAAGAAGCAAGAGAATAAGAGACAGAACCTCTAGAGGATATGATAGGACGAAGAGGAATATCAGGTTTATGAGTTTTGGGAAGGCCATAGAAATAGGGAAGAGAGGGACAGATGACACGAAACCGTTGAACAAGGTCAAAGTCAGGAGGGCGGAGGTTGGAGAGAGTCCTTAGTTTCTTGTTGAAAGTTCTCTTGATGCGATCAAGAGGGTTGGAAATGAGAGGAGTGTAGGTACGTGAGTCAGAGAGCAAGACATCAGCTTTACGGAGGTAATCCTCGCGATCAAGGATGACTACCGAATTACCTTTGTCAGAAGATAGTATGACAATACATGTATTAGTGTTGGATTTAAGAGAAGAAAGGGCAAGTTGGTAATGGTGTGGAAGGTGGTGATTCTTAGAAAACAGACTAACAAGAGCAGGAAGGAGAGCACCACGAAAAGTGGACAAGTCAGGAAGATTACGGGAGCAAGATTGACGAAAGGAATCAAAAGAGCTAATCAGGGCAATACCAGCGCGAGGGATAGGCGAAGTGGCAAAGGAAAGACCAAAACCAAGAAGTTCAAGCTCATACTGAGAGAGTGAGACAGAAGAAAGGTTAGTAACACAGTCAGTGAGGGAGAATTTAGACCAAGGGCTAGCTATCCTCTGCCTTCCCTACATTTCCGGTATTTCTAATCTCAACAATTCTCTCCGTGCCTTAGACATCAAGCTTACCTTCCGCCAGACTAACACTCTTCACACTAATCTCGTTCATACCTCTCCTCCCTCGACAGATGTTCCTGGTGTCTAGTCTATTTCTTGCTCCTCCTGTCCTCTTCAATACTTCGGAGACACTGGTCGATCTCTTTCTGACAGACTTAGGGAGCACAAAAATAGTGTTAGGCTTGCCGACACTAACAATGCTCTTTTCTGTCACGTCTGAGATCATAGGCATCCTATTGACTGGTCTTCTGCTAAAACTGTCTTCCCTACTTCCAACTCGAACAGTTGCCGTCTAGTTGAGTCCTCTCTAATACACAACTTTCCTTGTACGAATCTTAGCCCTGGCTTCGTCTCTGTAGATGCCTTCCTCTCCCACTACATTGTAAAAAGCTCCAAACTTCAGAACACCTGTGACTTAACCTGACTCCTCATTTTTTCTTTTTCTTCTTCTCCCTCTTCCCCTTTCCTCTTTCCTTTTTCTCCTCTGGGTTGTCTTTCTCTCTTCTGTCTCATGTTTCTGTTCCTTCTTTATTTCACCACTTCCCCTTTCATGCACCTCTGTGCGCTTGCTCTCCCTCTGTGGGCACCTAGCTCTCTTGCAGTGCTCCCCTTCCTTTGTATTTGACTGGCTCATCCTCCTTATTCCCCACTTCTACCACTACCACTACTACTACCTCTTCTACTACTACTACTACTGATGAAATTAAGACACATGTGCGGCGTCTGGGTGTCTTTGTTGTGGATGTTTCGCCATCCAGTGGCTGGCTGGATGGCGAAACGTCTACGATAGGGATGCCTGGGTGTTACGCATGTATCTTAATTTCATCTTGTCGGTATTATATACCATTCTTGTACTACTACCACTACTACTACCACCACCTCTTCCTGCCTATATATAGCTGTCCTGCTCCTCTTCTGGTTAGTGTGACTTTGTAAATGGTCCAAGTCGGACCGAAACGTTGTCATAAGCTTCTCTCTTTTATGTGCGGGTTATTTGTGTATCGTTCCAGCCACGGTATTGTGCCTTTTTTTGTTATTATATACTTGTCATGATTTATAGTCACAGAAATGAGAATTTCACAGTAATGTGAAATTAACAAATTATGTAAGATCACATATGATCACCTTAGTACTAAGTAGGTTGCATTATCATTATGTAAAAAAGAAAATGATTGTTTAGTGCTCACCAGGAAACATAATATTTTTTTTTTTTATTATCACACTGGCCGATTCCCACCAAGGCAGGGTGGCCCGAAAGAGAAAAACTTTCACCATCATTCACTCCATCACTGTCTTGCCAGAAGGGTGCTTTACACTACAGTTTTTAAACTGCAACATTAACACCCCTCCTTCAGAGTGCAGGCACTGTACTTCCCATCTCCAGGACTCAAGTCCAGCCTGCCAGTTTCCCTGAACCCCTTCATAAATGTTACTTTGCTCACACTCCAACAGCACGTCAAGTACGTCAAGCACTTGGCGTGCTGACGAAACATAATAATCATATTTTATACTTTTTTTTTTTTTAAAATAATCACCAAACTCATATAGGCCATGCTTAAGTTTTCTGAGCCTGGAGCTGATCAAAGACACAGAACTGTGAAGGCTCCAGCTGTTGCCAAAATTACATTTTAGGAAACGACCAACGTTTGTGCGAGCTCATGGATACAGTACTGTACAGATCGTATGTACATCACTCCTGTCCATAAAATAAATATTTCACAACAGTGTGTAAGTAAAAAATTTGTTAAGGAGTAATGGGGACTAATCTGGGTGTGGATTCCTAAGAAAATCTGTTAAGGAGGCTCTCACTCCCTTATGACTGACATCAATAAGTGGAGGAGACAGTCATCTGCACTATGGTCATGGTGATTCATACTTCACTAAAAAACAAAAATATACTTTCTGTGATTTGCTAGACTCTTAGCACCTGCTCTTGTGACTTGTATGTGTGTGCTCGTACTGTGAAAGGGGTTGTGAGCACAAAACAATATTCAAGTCAGGAGAGCAGATTTGAAAAGTACCATCACTGTTGTTGCTCTCATAACACAACCTGTAATTTTCCTGGCCTTTGCTAAAGCCTGATACTACAGATGTCTATGCCATTCCTGGTTACACAGCCATACACAACTAGGCCAGATCAACAAGGGGGTGGCACAGCTATATACTACTCAGACCAACTAGAATGTATCACTAATACTTGCACAAGGGATGAACATGGGGAATATATAATAGCTAAATTCAAATCCAAATACCTACGAAAACCTCTCACAGTGATAAACATCTACAGAGTACCACAAACATTAGCCATTTTAGTGAAAACCTAGGAAGTATGATAACTGATGCACGCATGAACAAAGATCACTTACTACTCTCAGGCGACTTCAATATAAATCTCATGCAAGACCAGGACCCACAAGTTACTGAATTCACAAACACTATGAGTAACTGCATGTTGCTACCAATAGAAGCAAAACCTACAAGAGTTACAGAGACTAGTGTTTCCCTACTAGACCACATCTGGACCAACACCATATCCCCTTTAAAATGAGGCATAATCACAGATAATAGCACAGATCACTACCCTACCTTCCTCATAACAAATCTTGGCAAATTACCCCAAGACACTACTAAAGTCACTTTCAGACTTCACAGTGAGGCAGCCATTAATAACTTCACAGCAGCAGTGACAAACATTGACTGGCACACTGAGCTAGAAATCTATACAGATATTGACGAATGTATTAATAGTTTTCTAAAAAAGACCCAATACCTCTATAGCAAGCACTGCCCCCAAAAAACTAAACAGATGAGAGCTACGAGACTGAACAGTCCCTGGCTAACACCCAGCATCCTCAAATCCATAAATACAATGCACCTATACGAAAAACAGCACAGAATGGGTCACATAATCAGAAATTCTAGGAACAAAAAAGATATCACGAAATAGCGAAATTGAATTAACAAAACCAGATGAACCCCAACTCCCACCAACTGAAACAGCAAACAGACTCAATAATTTCTTCTCCACTATAGGAAAAAACCTTGCCAATAAAATCCCAAGCTCAGATACCCCACCCAATGACTACCTCACTGGCAACTACCCGAACACACTGTTCCTAGCTCTGACTAACCGTACTGAAGTCTCCCTTATTATCAACACACTAAAATACAAGACAGGAGATTTAAATACCTTACTACCCTTTGTATACAAAAAAGCATCACAAGTGCTATCACCAATCATTGCAACACTCTTTAACCCTTTGACTGTTTACGCCGTATTATATACGTCTTACGCACCACTGTTTCTGACATATAAATATGCATAAATTCTAGCGGCTTCAAATCAAGCAGGAGAAAGCTGGTAGGCCCACATGTGAGAGAATGGGTCTCCATGGTCAGTGTGTACCACATAAAAAAAAATCAGGGAGCCAGTGGTGCATTGTGGGAATGCCATTTCAGTTGTCCTTTTTCAGCATGTCTAGCGTAAGAAATATGTGATTCCCCAGCAAATCTGGGACTCTTCTCTTCCCAAGTGATGCTCTAACACAGATGGAAGTGTCAGTGAAGATCAATTTCATGATTTGGAGGAGTTTGAGACCAAAAGCAATGGAGGAGGAGGGAGGGGGGAGGAGGAGGAGGAGGGGGGGAGGAGGAGGAGGAGGGGGAGGAGGAGGAGGAGGAGGAGGAGGAGAAGAGGAGGAGGAAGAGAAGAGGAGGAGGAGATGAAGAGGAGGTGGAGATGAAGAGGAGGAGGAGATGAGGAGGAGGAGGAGAGGAGGAGGAGCAGATGAGGAGGAGGAGGAGATGAGGAGGAGGAGGAGATGAGGAGGAGGAGGAGATGAGGAGGAGGAGGAGATGAGGAGGAGGAGGAGGAGAAGGAGAAGGAGAAGGAGAAGAAGAAGAAGAAATAATAATAATAATAATAATAATATGTTCCCTTGAGGCATGAAAACAGTTCACCCCATGACAGTGACAAGATAAGGGGAGATAACATCTGATAAGAGCTGACGTTTGATGAGCGTAAACGAGGGTGGAGCTGATAAGGAAAGATTAGATGACCATCACCCTCCCTTTGTTTTTGCTGGTACACAAACATTTCTGTCTGTCTATTTGTCTGTCTGTCAAGCTCCCTGTCTATTGGTCTAGCCCTCTGTCTCAGAGAGCCACAAGACTGTGTCATCAGGAAAGTAGGAAGGAAGGAATGATGACACACGACCATTTACCTAGGATAACTACATAACACAACTGCCTGCTAATACTTTGCAGAAAACTGCTCAGACAAGGTGTTTTGTCTTTGCACATAAAAAAAAAAAAAAATGCCACAAAAATGCACACACACTGGTTTTGTGTGTGAGGAGTGTAAAACACCATTGTGTATGACACCATGTTTCAAAGAGTTCCACAAGCTGCAGAACTTCTAGGAATATGTTCGGTGACTATACATTGGTATATATATTATAGAACAATAGTAATAAACAATTTTTTGTATTGTTTGTTTTTGTAAACAAGTTTTGTAAACAATATATTGATAATTATGTTTGTGTGCTTATTGTGTTGTATACAACGAGTGTATATATGTACATTGCACCTTACTTTGGTCTCACAGGCCACATAAGTTATGTGAAAAAATAAAATAGTGAAAAAAACAAAAAAACCTTCCAATACAAGTAAACTAAAGTTTACCGGGTGAGCAGCAGTCGCCGCTGTTGCCATACGTGGCTCATTTTCTGCAAACTTCACAGCTCTATATCTCAGTAAGTACTGATGGCAAAAAAAATTTTTTGGGACTAAAACACTCAGAAAAATAATCTTAACATTTTCATAAGAAAAAATAATTTTTTTTTTTCGAATATTTTGCGACATAGAATGACAGTTTCAGAAAGGGGCCTGCGACAGTCAAAGGGTTAACAAATCCATAGAATCCTCTACCTTCCCTACAGTTCTCAAAATAGCAAGGGTCACCCCGATCCATAAAGGAGACCAAACAGACTTGAATAACTATAGGCCAATATCCAACTTACACCCTCTCTCTAAAATCTTCGAAAAATTAATTCATAAGCAAATCTATTCCTACCTCATCTCTCACAACATACTCAACCCCTGTCAATTTGGGTTCAGGCCTAATAAAAATACTAATTATGCTATTATACACATGCTAGAACACATATACACTGCAATAGAGAAAAAAGAAGTCCCACTGGGGATCTTCATTGACTTACGTAAAGCTTTTGATACAGTTGACTATGACTTGCTCCATATAAAATTGTCGCACTATGGTATAAGACGGCACTCCCTCAACTACCTAAAGTCTTACCTCAGCAACATAAGCCAATATGTGTACACAAATGTGGCAAACTCTTCCCCACAGCCAATTACAGTTGGAGTCCCACAGGGAAGTGTCCTAGGCCCTCTTCTCTTTCTCATATACATAAATGACCTACCAAATGCATCACAACTACTCAAACCCACACTATTTGCAGATGACACTACATACATCTTCTCTCACCTCAGCCCAGTCACGCTAGCCAATACTGTAAATATCTACCTGGATGAGGACTAACAAACTTACTCTAAACATTGACAAAACCTACTTCATTCAGTTTGGTAACAGAGCTACAGACGTCCCTCTTAACATAATGATAAACGGATCACCTATCACAAAACTCACAGAGGGAAAATTCTTAGAAATCCACCTTGATAATAGACTCAAATTTCCAAAAAAATTTCCAAGACCATAGGCATACTATCAAAGATACGGTACTATGTTCCACAGTCAGTCGTCCTGGCCCTATATCACTCACTTATTTACCCCTATATCATCTATGGAATTTGTGCATGGGGCTCAACAACAATCAACCATCTCAAACCATTAATTACCCAACAAAAGGCTGCAGTCAGAATGATAACAAATTCCCACTACAGGCAGCACACTCCACCAATATTCAAAACTCTAAACCTACTTACCATACAAAACATCCATACTTTTTACTGCACCCACTATATACATAGAACACTTAACTCTGATATAAACCCTCCCCTCAAACATCTCATTACACATGAACACATGACCATAACACAAGGCACAGATCACTCTTTGATGTTCCTCGTGTCCACCTCACGCTATGCAAAAACTCAATGCACATAAAAGGCCCTAAAATCTGGAATTCATTACCTGTGAATATAAAAGAAACACTGTCTGTTTATAAATTCAAGTCTCTTCTCAAAAATCACTACTCACCCACAACTAAATAAATACTGAATAATTGTATCTCATAAATGTTTCTCATTATTGTATCTCATAAATGTCTAACCTGTGACCCAATCAAACTTTGTTATTTTTTAATTACATTACCTAACAGAATGCTCCATTCTACTGAATGCACAGCAACACAGTAAATGACCATATGACCTGCCCTTGTAATACTCATTTGTGCTAAACTGTTATCTGTTTACTATAATGTTTTTACCACTGAATATATCATTGCTTAGTTAATTTTAAGCCTGCCCATAATGCTCTGCATACAAGGGGCTTTGGCATGTTACACTTTAATAACTGTATTCCTTTGTACTTCTCTGTATCATGTTCAAATTAATAAATAAAATAATAAAATAAAATTTGCCTTATTTTGTTTTCTAAATGGCAGATCTTCTGACATAACTTTTTGTAAGTCTTTTTTACCTATTCCTTACACTCGATGATATGTTATGAATGTGTTCTGTACATTGTGCTTGTTTTGAGTTTTTCATTCTTCCCATACCTTCGGTAAGTAGTTGAAATTCGTCATCACTTACAAACCATAAAACAAAGTGAAAAATTCTACAAAAGTTCTAGATCACTTCTTCACCTGATTCATCTGCCAGGTCCGGTAGTACTATTCACTTCAATCATATCTGCATAATGTTTCCAGTGTATTTTACATTATTCACAACTATCATCTTGCAGTATCTTCCCAACTCTTACTCTCTCTCTACCACATATTTGTATTCTTTGTTATTTAGAGCTCAACAATGAAGCAATCAGTAACAACTTAGGCAGCATAAAAGATTTAATCATCATTAAATTTTCATTTCCTATTTGTAAGCTTGTTAGTGAGTAGCATCACTAGCACTTTTAACCCTATCACTATTTCTTTTTTGAAAATTTTTTGAAAGCAAAAAATAAAACAAAGTAGATAAAATTAATTATAAAGAATTCATATTTCATACCTCAAGTGGGCCATCATCTGGCAAATCTGAACAGTGTATTGCATTCTTCACTTTGTCTTCTCCAAATCGGGCTCTCAAACTATGGGGTCGCAGTTCCCTGGCCACAACCTGTTTCAATAAATGAATTGTTACCTCTTTGAGTGATAATACAGTTCATAATAAATTGCTAATTTTTAATAAAGGAAGAGATTGGAAAATAGTACTGTAATGTAAAAAAAAATACATCTAAAATGAAAATGTACAAGAGAGAAACATAATATAAAGACCCTTATACTTATCCCAAACTAATTTTGCAGACATTACTTCCATAATAAATTAACTAAGCAAAAACAGCATGAAACAAAGCTAACATACCACTATTAATATATAAGAAAACTGCTCACATACTATCACCTACTATTACAACATTCTTCAACAAATCATAGAAATAAAAACTTTCCCAAACATACTTAAACTAGCAAGGGTTTCCCCACTTCACAAAAGTGGAGACCCAACTGATATCAACAATTACAGACAAATTTTTAATTTGCCAATACTACCTAATTTTTTTTTACAAAATTATACATAAATAAGTGTAGGTAGTAGATTGCTAGACAGCAACCACCCAGAGAGGTACTACTGTCCTGCCAAGTGAGTGTAAAACGAAAGCCTATAATTGTTTTACATGATGGTAGGATTGCTGGTGTCTTTTTTTTTTCTGTCTCATAAACGTGCAAGATTTCAGGTACATCTTGCTACTTCTACTTACACTTAGGTCACACTACACATACATGTACAAGCATATATATACACACACCCCTCTGGGTTTTCTGCTATTTTCTTTCTAGTTCATGTTCTTGTTTATTTCCTCTTATCTCCATGGGGAAGTGGAACAGAATTCTTCCTCCGTAAGCCATGTGTGTTGTAAGAGGCGACTAAAATGCCGGGAGCAAGGGGCTACTAACCCCTTCTCCTGTATAAATTACTAAATTTAAAAAAGAGAAACTTTTGTTTTTCTTTTTGGGCCACCCCGCCTTGGTGGGATACGGCCGGTTTGTTGAAAGAAAAGAAGTTCTTGTTCTTATTGCTCTTCCTTTTATGTCCATGGGGAAGTGGAATAAGACTCTTTCCTCCATAAGCCATGCGTGTTGTAAAAGTCAACTAAAATGCCGGGAACAATGGGCTAGTAAGCCCTTGTGGCTTAGCGCTTCTTTTTTATTATAATAATAATGGGCTAGTAACCCCTTTTCCTGTATAGCCTACTAAAAAGAAAAAGAAGAAAACTGTCAAAGTGGGATGTTTAATGTGTGTGGATGTTGTGCGAATGATAAGAGATGATTGTGGATGTTATGAATGAGAAGAAGCTGCATGTCCTGACTTTAAGTGAAACAAAGCTGAAGGGGGTGGGAGAGTTTCAGTGGGGAGAAATAAATGGGATTAGGTCAGGGGTTTCAAATAGAGTTAGAGCTAAAGAAGGAGTAGCAATAATGTTGAAGGATAAGTTATGGCAGGAAAAGAGGGAATGTAAACGTATCAGTTCAAAAAGTATGTGGAGTAAAATAAGGGTTGGATGTGAAAAGTGGGTTATAGTAAGCATTTATGCACCTGGAGAAGAGAGAAGTGTAGAGGAGAGAGATTTTGGGAAATGTTCCAAGTGCATGGGGGGTTTTGAACTAAGTGTGAGAGTACTTGTGGTTGGGGATTTCAATGCTAAAGTGGGCAAAAATGTTATGGAGGGAATAGTAGGTAAATTTGGGGTGCCAGAGGTAAATGAAAATGGGGAGCCTTTAATTGAGTTATGTGTAGAAAGAGGTTTGGTAATAAACAATACATTTTTTATGAAAAAGAGGATAAATAAGTATATAAGGTATGATATAGCACATAATGAAAGTAGTTTGTTAGATTATGTACTGGCGGATAAAAGGTTGATGGGTAGGCTTCAGGATGTACATGTTTATAGAGGGGCAACTGATATATCGGATCATTATTTAGTTGTAGCTATAGTTAGAGTAAGAGGTCAGTGGTCACGTGTGGTCATACCTGTCCTAAGCTGTCTGGGATTAGCGTGGGGTGTTACCTAGCACCATAGCTTGTAGTAGTGTTTTAAATTCTCAGGTTAAAGTGTTGAAGAAGGAGATTCTACTTCAGGAGGAAAATAGGAGGCTGAAGCTTTGTCTAGATGGGTTTGGGAGTGAGTGTGGGATGGTGGTAGCTGGTAAGGAGGAAAAAGTTACCAGCAGTGATTTGGAGAGTGGCAGCTGCTTTAAGTGACAAGTGGTTCACAATTCAGGAACAAGGATGATAAAGAAGGCTAATAGAGAAGATGTGAAGGTAGGAAATTGATTCTCTGTTCTCCAGGTCGAGTGTGCTTCAGTGGTTAGTGAGATTAAAGGTAACACTGGCTTCCCTGCTTATCAAGGTAAGAATATTCTGATTGTGGAAGATTCTCAGGAAAGATATATGGACCGTGCTTTCTGTAACAGAGATAGAAAGGTCAGACAGAGGGCGTCTCTCCCAGGAGCTGGTGTTGGTGACATAGTCAGCTGGTTGGATATTATGTCAGGCAATGGGAACAAGCCCATTATCTGTCTTAGTGCTGGTGGAAATGACATCGGGAATGGCAGGAGACAGGAGCTGCTGGATAAGTATAGGTCAGCCATAGATGTAGTCAGGTCTAAGGGAGGGATCCCAATCATATGTAGCATCTTGCCTAGAAGGGGAGTGGGCAATGAACGGATGTCTAGGGCAATTTGTATAAATTGCTGGCTAGACAGGTACTGCAAGGAACTTGCAGTCCCATTCATTGATAACTGGGACAGATTCTATGGCAAGCATGATATGTATGCAAGGGATGGGGTTCATTTCTCTGGGGCTGGAATGGTTGCGTTAGCCAATTCGAATGAGGGGGTCATTGATGACTTGTCTAGGAATTTAAACTGATAGATTATAGAGGTATGGGTGTTTGTGGGAAACAATCAGGCTGCAGTACTAGGGTTGAAAATGGCAGATATAGCCAGGATACCTCAGGGATATATTTAAAAGACAATATTCAAAATAAAGTTGCTAGTAAAGACAAATCAATTGATCAACAGAGATAGTAGAGGGCAACGACTGACTAGCTCCCTTAAGGTTTACTGTACAAATAGTAGGAGTCTAAGAAATAAGATAGATGAGCTAAGATTACTTGCAAGTGCAGGTAATATAGATATTATTGCTATAACAGAAACCTGGTTCAGCTTGAAAGATAGAGAAATGCCCGGTGAATGCAACATACAGGGTTATAAACTATTCCATACTGATAGGGTCAACAGGAAGGGTGGTGGAGTGGCGATGTATGTCAGAGATAATTTGAATTGTTGTGTTAGACAAGATATAAGATTAGAAACATCGGACACAGAATCTGTTTGGCTACAGTTTCTCGAGGGTCGTGAAAGGTTAATTTTGGGTGTGATTTATAGGCCCCCAAACCTTGATAGAGAGTGCAGTAAGCTGCTATGGGACGAAATTCATAAGGCGTCTAGATATGGAAATGTTGTGTTAAAGGGAGATTTTAACTTTAGACAGATTGAATGGAACAATGTGACAGGAAATCTTGAGTCTAGTGACTTTCTTGATACAGTTCAGGATTGCTTTTTAAAACAGTTTTTGACAGAACCAACTAGAGGAAACAATCTACTTGACTTGGTTCTTGCAAACAAAGAATCACTAGTTAATAATCTTGAGGTTAACTATGAGCTTGGGGAAAGTGATCACAAATCACTTAGTTTCAATATATCATGGAGTTACCCGAATAACTGTAATCAAATCTCTTTCCCAGACTTTCGCCTGGCTGATTTCATGGGACTGAAAAATTACCTGGGTGGGCTAAATTGGGATGTTCTGACTATGGGTCAGGTAGGTGATCTTGGTTGCCAATATGATGTTTTTCAGAGCATAGTTCTAGCTGCCCAGACAACTTTTGTTCTGAGTAAGGAACTAAGATCTAACAAAATGATCTCAAATGGATGAGCAATTAATAATAATAATTTGAACATACATACAGAGGTACAAAAAAATACAGGTAAGAGCAGCATGCCAAAGCCACTTGTATGCATAGCATTACATGCAGGCTTAAAATTAACTTAAGATTAACTAAGCAATGATGTAATCAGTGATAAAACATTATTGTAAACAGATAACAATAAAGCACAAATGATTATTACAAAGACAGGTTAAGGAAGCCTAGAGAACAAATGGATTTGTCAGTTAAAAATAGGAGAGGAGAGTTATTAAATGGAGAGTTAGAGGTATTGGGAAGATGGAGGGAATATTTTGAGGAATTGTTGAATGTTGATGAAGTTAGGGAAGCTGTGATTTCGTGTAAAGGGCAAGAAGGAATAACATCTTGTAGGAGTGAGGAAGAGCCAGTTGCGAGTGTGGGGGAAGTTCGTGAGGCAGTAGGTAAAATGAAAGGGGGTAAGGCATCAGGGATTCATGGGATAAAGATAGAAATGTTAAAAGCAGGTGGGGATATAGTTTTGGAGTGGTTGGTGCAATTATTTAATAAATGTATGGAAGAGGGTAAGGTACCTAGGGATTGGCAGAGAGCATGCATATTTCCTTTGTATAAAGGCGAAGGGAAAAAAAAGGAGTGAAAAAATTATAGGGGGTAAGTCTTTTGAGTAATGGAAAAAGTGATGGTAGATTTATTTTTAAAAAAGAATTAAGAGTAAGACGGAAATAGGATACAGATAAAAAGGGAAAGTTAAAGGAAAAGGTGGGGGGGTGTGTGGACCAAGTGTTTACAGTAAACATTAAGTGAACATTTTTAGAAAAGGGTAAAGAGGTCTTTGTGCATTTAGGGGTTTTTGGAAAAAGGCGTATGACAGGGTGGTTTAGGGGGGCAATGTGGCAGATGTTGCAGGTGTATGGGTAGGAGGTAGGTTACTGAAACAGTAAAATTTTTTTACAAGGATGTGGGGCTCAAGTTAGGTTTAAAAAAGAGGGAAATTATTTCCCATAAAAGTAGGCCTTAGAAAAGGGAGGTGTGTCCCGTGGTTTTTTAAATATTTTATAGAGGGGGTTTGTAAGAGAATAAATGCGGGGTTTTGGGGCAAGAGGGTGGATTTAAAAAAGTAAAAAAACCACAC